TCCAACACATCGGTTATCGTACGAGTTGCATCAAAAATTGTTCGTCCTTTTACAAAGGCATTCTGGTCATAATGGATAATATGTGGTAGGACATTTTCTAGCCTTTTAGCGATAGCTTTTGAGCCAATTTTAACATCAACATTTACCAGAGAAATCGGTCTCCAGTTTTTTATCCATCTCCTATCTTTGTCCTTTTTCTCAATTAAAGTTATTACGGCTTGCTTTTGCGAATGTGATAATTCACCATGAAAATACGCATAATTTAATGAGTCCACTAGAAATATTCCGATTTCTGACCAGAAGAACTTGTAAAATTCTATAGTGAGCCCATCGTTTCCAGGAGTTTTATCGTTACTAAAGGTAGACAGAACCTTGAAACATTCGGAATATGTTAATTGACCCTCGCACGTTTCCCGCATTGAGTCGGTTAACTTAGGAGATGAGAGGGTATCTTCCAGAAAAGGACAAATCGAATAGTCAGTTTGTATTCCCGACTTTTCGTCATAAAGCTCAGAATAAAAACTGTGAATTTCGGTCATAATAGTGTCCGGAACAGTAGTCTCTTCTCCATTTGCTCGAATAAGTTTCCGTATGCAGCTTTTTTTCTTATTTCTGTTTTCCAGATTTAGAAAATACTTGTTGTTTCTTTCCCCTTGTTCAAACCATGTAGCGCGGGAACGAATGATTGAGCCTCTTACAATGTAATCATACTCTTGTTCGTATTCTGTTTTGACCGATTCGAGGTTGGCAAGGTTTTCTTGCGTCGGTGATTCTGCTATTTTTTCCTCACATATTTTAAGCCTGTTTTCAATTGTTTGAATTCTATTTCTCCTTTCTTTAGCTTTCAGTTTGCTATACGATATACTTTCCCCGCGAATTTTGTATTTCATCCAGTCCCATTTAATTCTCGAATCATCGCAAAAATTAATTTCGTCTATCCACTTAGGAAAGTTCTCGCGTAAACGCTCAACGAAAAAAGCGTCATCCAAGAGACTGTTATTGAACTTCCAAAAAGATGGGCCACGCTGCTGATCATTTAGACTGTCAATTTCTAAAGTTATTGCATGGTGATCCGTTCTTATAGCTGTCACTATGTCGACTTTAGCTACGTCATCTTGTAATAGGTCACTAATGAGCCAATAATCAAGGCGTCTTTGAATAATTGGGCTTTTTTGTCTCCAAGAAAATTTCTTGCTATTAGGATTACGGATTCTCCAGATGTCAACTAAATCATAATTCAGCATAATGTCCTCCACACACTTAACTGAGTCTTTTAACACAGGGTTTCCACCCGAACAATCTAGGTCTGGGTCCATAGTTACGTTCCAATCCCCTCCTAATATAATTTTGTAGTCAAAATCATTGTATCCCTCATCATAGATAAGCTCAGACAATGTTTGGAAGAACAACGATTGCTTAGTGGTGGTATTGGGAGCGTAAATATTTATCAGAAGGAATGGAACATCTTGAATAGTTGTCTCTAAAATGAGGTACCTCCCATCCTCATCCGATCGAATTGATTTCAATTTGAAGTCAAAGGATTTACGTATAAGGATTGCGACCCCACGACTATGGTTAGAGCCATGAGCAAAGTAAATGTCCCCGGACCACTGCTTTTTCCATTGATTTTCAATCTCTTCAGTGCTGTAAGTTTCCTGCAGAAAGCAGATGTCTGAATTTTGCTTGTATAGCCAGTTGAAAATGGACTTACGTTTTTCAAAAGAACGGATACCCCGAACGTTCAGCGAAAGAGTTTTAAACTTTAAGTTGTTGAAATCCATTGAAATTTGCATACGTGTAGTGAAAAAAAGACAACAACAGTAGCTGTTATTCCCAGAAGGGTCACTGTTACTCGAACAATTAACGCATTCCTGATTTTGTCAAGTGCAAACTGAATAAATATAGAATAACATACATAACAAAACAAAAGAAACGAGATGAAAAACGTAGCCAGTGTAAAGAATTAAACTGTTGAAGCTACGCCTGGACGAGATCAAGTGTTATACTTTTGTTTAAATCGAACTTCAGAAGAGAACTAAGGAATATGCTAATCGATAGCTCCCAATAGAAACGAAAAAAATAAGAAGTGAACTACTTCCTGCGAATTCTAAAAATAAATAACCTGGAACCTATTTATTTATGATTTTACCTCCACACCGTCAATAAAGAGTTTATAGGGTTCCGTTCTACTGAAGGCTGCCCGTTTTCCATCTTTTCTTGCTTGTACCATCTTCGGAATAAGCCTCTTCCTCATATCAATCACCTGCTTAGGTAGATCTGGGCCAATACCGAAATTCGACTGGCTATCGATGTTGCGTCGGCAAGAAAAGAGGTTTTCTCGATCTTTAAAGCGAAGACAGCGTGCTATGATGGCCCTGGGTTTTCTTGTGTTTCGGTCCTTTTTACCGACGCGGTGGACTCTTTGGAACTCAATAGATTGGGCGTTTTCCACATTTAACTCTTTCTCCAAGAAAGCTTTCAAAACGGGTTCAGTATTCTCTTCCCCTTCGATTTCTGGAATGCCGTAGAAACGAAGATTTTCGCGGCGGCTGTACACTTCATAATTTAAGAGTTGGAGACGCAAGTGATCCAACTCCTGTCGTGACTTCTCTTCGTCATCTCGGAGTTTTCTCTTACTGGTTTCCACTTCATCATTCAGGAATTTTACGCTTGTTTTAAGCGTATTTGTTTCTTCGACTGTATTTCGTACGTCTTCCTTTAAGCGGTGGAATTCGCTTTGAAGGTTTGCGACCGTTTGATTTATTCGATCCACAGAGTCCTGTAAAACATTTATTTGTGTGCCGATATTTTCCAGTTGACTTAACTTTGATAATATTAGGTCCACTTTGGAGGCGAAATCTTGTGCCATATTGAGGGCAGATAGAACTACGTCTTCAGAATCGTTCTTCGACTTTGGTGGCGATACAATGGCGGGTGGAGCGTTCGCTTGGTCTTCTTTCACACTCTCTTTCAACCGCTTCGTTTCGGGGGAAATGGTCTCGCTGGTCGGTGAATTACTCCCTCTCGTTTTCCGTTTAAACAGAGATGAAAGTGGCGATGAAAATTCCATAAAAAATATCAGAACGCATGGAAGAGTGCAACAAAAGTTACGGAGCTAACAATCACACGTCCTTACTCAGTCATGCTCAGTCTCAGTCTCACACGCATATTGATTTTATGCGGGTGTTGTCTCTGGTCGGCATGATTTGACCTTTGATACAAGAGCATTTCCTTTGACCTTTTTTGAAATGCAATGCTCTTCATTGCGGCCAAATAGGTGTTTTAGGTTGTTTGATTTTCTCCACCTGGATCCGAATAATTATAAGCGATTTTCTTTTAGTCCGTGAATGTGACGGTTTTTACGATGTTTTGTCACGCGATAACTACCGCTTACCTCGCTTTTAAGTTTCTCATTACCAGGGTTAGATTCCTGGTAACTGTCTCCAGCAAAGGCATAACAAATGAATATGCATATAATCGTCAATATAACTATTCGCAACATATTCATGAGCTGTAAGCAAGTTGCTATTTCGAAATAAACCGAAACCTGTGGACATTGATAAATTCGGGGGCATTTTCTCGTGTGTCTTGGTTTGTTACGAACAAATGTCTTGCTGTTTATCACGTAAAATTAACACTTCAGAGAAAAATCTAAACTTAATATTCTGAAAATTAATTCGACACTTCCAAGAAGATCAGTAAAGTCAATAAAGCTCTTGTTATGTAGAGGGTTGAGCTTCTAGGCGTTAAAATAATAGAGTTTTTTCTGCGTAACGTCCTGCCTGTCTTAAATTTTTCAGCGACGATACATTCTTGAAAGAAATTTGAAGCAATTGACAAAGGAAGAAGTATACGGTTGATACCATATCCTTTTCAGATTTATTCCATTTTTTTTCCCGCCTTGTATAAATTGACCTGAGATGTGGCGTCCTCCTTCCCTTTTTCTTTAGAACGGGAGAGAAAGAGGTTCCTTTTTTTACAATCAGCCCTTTTTTGTAATCAGTCCTATAAAATCCATTCAGGAGCCGAAGTAATCGGCTCCTGATCCATTCCATTCCTCAATTTTTCACGGGATCATTTGCGGTCCATTTTGGGGATCATTTGCGACCCCTCTGCTAGCCTGCGTAGGGTTTTTCCTCTCGTCCCAACTTTCTCGACGAACTCGCGCGGAAACGCTTGCTATGCAGGCTACCCCTCTGCGAAACCTCCACCAAGTTATGTTCGTCTGGGTGTTGGTCTGCTAGGACAAATAGGCAAGACTTGAACCATTTGTGTATATGGTGTTTAAGTAAGTAATGGAGCGCTGGTTTTCACTCTATGGGCTTAGGAATCAGCGATGTTTTCCCTTCAGAAAACCAGGGGGAATAATCTTTTTCATACTCAGAGATCGCTTGAAAAGACGATACTACACCCTTATATAAGGCGTGAGCACGTTTTCACCAGACGAGATGATCCGGTCCAGGTGTACTCCAGTTTTTCTTCCATGCTAGAATTTTCACTGCGCACCTTGTGTGAATATTATTATTATTATTGTTATTATTATTATTATTATTATTATGATGATGATGATGATGATGATGATGATGATTGTTTTTGCGAAAGGTTTGAACCCATGAGTCATTTCTAAAGTAGGTTGAGTTTGATCGTCCGGGTGGACAAAGTCCTTAATAGGACTGTTGTTGTTGACAGGGATTGACGTTTCGACAACCTGTGCGGTAGTCATCTTCAGAGTCAAAGTGAGTTGTATCACGTCAGTTTGACGTGATAAAACTCACTTTGACTCCAAATTTGTGGACGTGAAAATTAATCTAAGCTTCATACTTTAGACGTTTACGGATATAGAAACATTTTCCGCTTTCCATTTTGTCTGTATTGACTCTATAAGACGCGGTTGGCCATGCGATTTCCCGAGTTGCATTTGGGTTGCCATACCAGTTGATTGAGTTGCTTTACTTTGGCATGGCTGTGGTGCGGACGGACAGGCGTACGGTCACGTAACT